GTGGATGTTTTGGCGCTTGATGGTGTCAGTGTCCTCTTAAGACTCCTAGATCCGAAGAAGCTGAATGGTTTGTTGTCGGACGACGAAGAGCTGCGAGTGGACATGGAGCTCCTAGATGCTCTGGTCTTGTCCTTATGCTCCCGCTCAACTGCTTTCCTCTCGCGGTGCTCCTTTCTAGACTCCCTGTCGGGGTCCGTCCACACGACTTCCCACATTGCGAGTCGTTTCTCGTCGGTCCAAACAAGAGACGCGTGTTGTAATGAAGATCCGGGTGACCAGGGGGAGATGTTAGGGATGCTGGATATATACAGCCAGCCGACTTTGGTGCTGGTTGAGACGCAAAACTGTGAGCTTGAACCGGCCGATCAATCGCATGCCCGAAATTCGGAAAACGGCGTGTTGTTAGATGGTCAGACCTTGTGGAGGCCCGAGGACGTAGTTCGTCCGATGATTGGCGTCGTAGAAGTGAGTGAGGATGAAGTTAAGATACAGTTGCGGTCGGGGATAGGAAGTCGCAGGGGTGAAAGGTTGAAAAGCTGCGATGACCAATAGCCTAGACCATGGAGGAGAGCCTGTGGAGGTTGAATAGGGAGAGAGAGATGCAAGAAGTCGAATTGACGAGAGTGCCGTCCCAAGGGGAGACAAGATTCGACGAGGTGAAAAAGGGAAGCCGACGTCGGCAGGTGGTGTAGGGTGAAGATTGAACGTCGTGGTTGACAAGAGCCGAGAAAAGATGGAAAGAGGAAAAAGGGTAGTCACGATGTGATAGAAGGCAGGTGCAGCTCTGATTGAGAAGGACGCTAGTGTATCAGGAGGACCACGCGAAACCTGTATCAATTGGGAAGGCAGGAGACCTGGACGTATGGAAAATGCCGGTGGAAGGAAGGACCGAGGGGAGACGAGGACGGGGACGAGGACGAGTACGCAAAGATGCGGTATGCGGTATGCGAAGCTGCAGATGGCAGTTAACAGTCGACGTGTGCGAGCGTCGCTTCCGGCTGTCGTCGTGCTTGTGCGGCAGCTGCAGGAGGTTCGATACGCGCCGCAGATGCGAAATGCAACGTGAGGGATGACAACTCCAGGTCGAGATCCCGGTGCGGCCGACGGCAACAACAACCTATGGATGTGTGAAGTGCGCAACCTACAGACGGGCCAGCCTCTCGGTACTTGATGAAGAATGGTAAAGGATACAGGAGCGGGAAGAGTGCGTCAGAGGAGAGTGAGTGGCCCGTTCCGAGAGATTTGCATTTGTACAAATAGGTAATTACTTTCTCTCTTCCAACAGGAACCGGGTTCGACAGCGTGTGATCGTGCGCATACGTCTGATTATGTACCGTGCCATGGACAGGATCAGGACACCAGCACGGCCAGTTAATACTGTTGGGCAAGCAGGTGGCAGGTTGGTTAGCAAGCCGATTCGGCGGTCGATCCAGCTCCAGTATGAATTTGTGCTCCCCGGCTCGTCCATATATCGAATTGGGACTAACACAACCGGCTTTCCTTGAACCCCCTTGGCCTTGGCTCCCCTCTCTCAATCTCGCCGATAGCCCATGCAGTCATCTGAGATTTTGTGGCGTCCTGCCGGTCATAGCCCTGGTCCCCCATCCATCTGGTCGTGCTGGTTTAGAATCATTGGACATTGATCGGCAAGTGTTTTTCATTGTCTCAATCCGTCCTGCTCCTGCGTTGCTTATTCCACCACCACCAGACAAGGGCGTCCCAGCCGGCATCGTCAACTTTGCCCTCGCTCACAGACTTGATGTGACTGTACGCCCGGACTGCCAGTTGCACCAAGCACAGCAGCGGCAACTTGTGGAAGCCAACGTCAACGGGACGCAACGCGCCGTGCCACATTGGTGGAGGAAATATTGAGATGAAATGCCCTTCTTCACGAACCGTTCCGAATCGTCAACGGGTTTCGCATTGTCAAACAGTAGAATTCCATTGCCCGGCCTCCCTCGACACCAGGCACGTTGCGACCCTCATTCTTGGCTCGTATGGAACGCAAAAGGGCAGAGAGAGACGAGGACGTGCTCATTGTGTCCTGAGCTGCGGCCCCTGCCTCAAATACTCAAAGGCCGGCGCCCATGGAAGTTTTCAGAGAAAGGGACGGCGCGAAGCTTACGTTGCCTGCCGCATGGCAAAACCCATTGCTATCTTTGGGGGCTGTGGACTATCGACAAGTTCGCACGTCGAGCTGTGCATTTGTGGGAGCTAGCCGTATCTTTGGAATCCAAATTGCCTGGTGCATACCATTCATGCCGGACGGAACTGAGCTAAGGTAGCCATTCGATGGGAAGCATCGGGGCCGTGTTTGCTCCGTTCTTGCAAAGTGCCCTCGCACCATTGAAGACAGCTGCAAGCTGCCTTCTCGAATCAAGGCGGTGCTCCTCTCGATCCGCAGCGTAGCGGCAAGGCCGGCGAGGGGAGGCCGTCGTACAGAATCTCCCCATTGAGTCCATGACAGATGCGGTGGTGTCGTCTTCAGCTGTCAACTCTGCAGTCTGGTGGCTCTGTAGGTCCCGGCAGACCGTCTTGCGGGAGGCATCCGTCAATGTCGTCCGGGGCTGTCCATGATCCCGGCGAGAAACGGACGATCCGGGCGATATGGTGGCATTGCAGCCTACACAGTACCCGCTCGAAGCGGATTCCAGAGACTCGGACCGGCAGACCGCTTGTTGGGAGCAGACAACAATGAGGTGTCGTGGGTATGTGTGTGTGTGTGTGTGTGTGAAGGGGTCGAGGGTGCCACTTTTCTAGGCAAACGTCAACACTTGAGCAGGGGCTGTCAAAGTGGTTAGCTGGGAGGCCACGGTGGTGGCATCGTAGTCCGATGTATGGTGTTGGCGTTGGAAGGCTCGCAAGCTCGCAAGACTCAACCAAAGAGTGAGATGGAGTGCAAGGCAGGGGAAGAGGGGCACCGGGATGTCGTCTGCAAGGTGGAAGAGTCGGGATCACAGATTGGATTCAGGGCGCGGGTGGATCTGCAGGGAGACGGCAATCCGGGGCAGGGCCACCCCTGAGGACTGCGAGATCTAAACCGCCCTGGGGGACAAGGTGGCTCGTGAGTGGTCAGGTTCCAGCTTCCCACTGCAGCGGCGCCGCTAGGGGGCCCGTGTCAGGGGACTTACAGTCTGCGGGGCACGTCCTGGCGGCCGTAAGTGCTCTAGGTGGCTACCTTAAGGTACGTTTAGTGGCTCAGGGACCACCTCGACCACTCACAGCTCCGCGATGGCATCGTCCGGCCAAGCCCAGCACGCCTAGATGCGCCGCGGAGCGATCCATGCCACCCCTCCTACCCTGCACTATCCTTTTCGCGGCTCACTTGGCTGCTTTTAAGCGAGTTTGCCAACCAACGACAATGGAGAGCAAACATTCTTCCCTTTTCTTATTCCAACAAAGACCCAATCCAACGAGGTCTCAAGAAAAGGTCCCAACTCCATTCCAGCCAGACTCAGACGGCCTTTGTATCCGTAGTCAATGCTCTTCTTCAACCGTGCCATTGAAAGAAGTGTCTTGAACTCTTGAGCCCTTTCTAGATGCGGCACACCCCCAAGGGCCCGGTTTACCGACCATCACCTGCGACCAACTCGAAATTGCCAACGGGCTTGACCACACAAACATGTTCCAACATATCCTAACGGCCTATGGATACCGGAGGAAGATCGGACCACGATAGCTCCATTCCAGCAAGCACAGAGCACCTCTACCACGTGGGTTGGCACTTTGGCTGGGCCGCTTTGAGCGTAGGCATAGGACCGACGTTAAACTCTCCGCAGTGCTGGGCAATAAAGAAGCGAGCGAGCGAGGAAAAGAGCGGCCTTTTGTAGCAGTGCATGATGCGTAGGCAAGGTACGACGTGCCTATGTCTGAGTCTTCTCGAGAGCTGACCAGTGAAGAGGCCCTCAAGTCAGACCGATGACGGCTGTAGGACACGCAAGGTCAGCCGCAAAAAGAGCAAACAGGTGACAGCTAGATCATGGTCAGCAGGGGCTGATGCGAGAGTAGAACATTGTCACAAGCTCAATCTCGGTAGAAGGACGAATTTCCCGCATATGATGCAAAGTACCGTTCGCCGACCTTGGCGGTCCTATCAAGGAGCTTCGAGACATGTCTCGCTTACCAAAGTCTACACTGCAGCGGCTGCCCGCAGGCAAGAAATTGGCTCATGGCTGGCTTTCCCGTTGTAATTGGTTTATTATCTGGAAAGACAGCAAAGCTGAGCGGCCAGGTGAAGAAAGGGATAGTCGAATAGTCCATTGACTGCGGCTTGGTCGATTATAGGGGATAGTCACAGAATTGCGATGGTGAACGGTTTTGGAAAGGGCTGGGTGATTTGAGGGGGCTTGGTTTCAAGGCCGATTGTACGGTTTCCGATGAAGCTATCGCGACGACATCCGACATCGACGATAAGGCCAAGAAGCAGGCGATTCCAATGCCTCGTTCGGACGATGGTGTGGTCTTCGGCAGTCCGAGCGGTTGACGAACAAGACTAAGACGCGCCTAACCTGACAGCTGGGTCGAAGGTTCGTGAGGCGTTGCGCACAGATGGAGTTCGTTTCTTGAGAGACTGGAGCTAACGAGATGGATGGTATCGTTTCTCTTCCGAGAGCCTATCAACTCGTACGAGAGCGTGGACTTGATATCAGTCGTGGCTTGAAAGTTTGGCGCGTAGCCATTGATAATGAGGGCCGGCTCACAGCCCGTCAGCGAGGCCTTGTGGTGAATCAATGGACAAGGCGTTTGTCGTTGGCAAAAAAGTGTACTCTTCCAGCTTTGGGGACTCAAGCCTTTTGAGCATTCGTGGCGTCGAGAGAAGGCCGTTTTAGGATGTGCTCTCTCGCAAAGTCTTTTGATGGCAGATTAACACAAGCACCTCCACCTCCCGGCCGGCGATTGTAGATCTCCCATGAGGCTAGCGCCTCGCGTCAAACGTGGAAGAGACAAGCTGCGCGGCGCGCCTGGTAGTGGCGGCCTGGACCTTCTCTGCTCCCGTTCCCCACCTCCACGCGGCATTGGCGCAGTATGCCTTTTGCTGAGGAAAAGAAAGACTGGTACACCCTCCTTCACTGGCGTACCTCAGATAGTGGCAGACTAAAGCAGGGTCAACTCGGTGAGGAAAGGTATCCTTCTCGGAAGGGGGGGAAAAAGAAGAGACCTGTCGTCTAGGAGATGCAGGTGATGTATGTACCTTACCTAAGGTACGGAGTAGGTGTAGGTAAGGAAGATGGTAAGGTGGTGAGGTAGGCAAGTCCGGCAAGGTAGGTACGATGTGTGCAGCTGTGCAGTAGACATGGGCAGGAGCGAGCAATGATATAATTGATCCTGCCACTTTCGCCCCTTCCACTTCCAGGTTCTTCCCTCCTCTAGGCATTCCCTTAACGCACCTTCACTTTCTTCTCCAACGGTGCATCTGCCTTCCCTTTCTTCTCTTTTTCCAAGACAGCTCTTTTATCAATCCTTCCCGCAGGATTTGGTCTCGTTGCCAGGCCGTCCCGGCTACCACCTTAAGTTCCAACTTCCGAATATTGGACTTCTCGTCACTCTACGTTCCTTTCTCTTCCACTCACTCAATCCTTCCCATCTCGGCTCCAACACCTATCGGACCTCATCTTCAGGTTCAGGCTCTCCTGCGGCTTTCCTCATTCTTTTCCCTCCTGACTCCTCGCCGATTGTGTGCCAACCACCTCCCGCCTCACCTCGTACAGGACTCTGAGACATCTCAACCTTCTTCCTTTGTGCTGAGTCCTGTACCACAACCTCCTCACCACTCCCCTACCGCTCACTACCACCTACCTTTCCGAGTCGCCTGGACGCTCGTCCACCGACTCTCCTTCCTCCATCGCTCGCTATGAGCAACATGTCGACTCACTCCAACATGGAGCGTTTGGAACCCGTCGAGACGCCCGTTCGTCGATCCGCCATCGGCCGCAAATTCCATGCTATGTGGAAGGCTATCGATCGCTGCGACAAGCGAATCTCCACGTCTACCTTTGGACGAATCTTCAGACTCGAGGGAAGCGGTCATGTATGTTTCCTCTCCCCCTGCCTCTGTTGCCAAATTTTCTAACCCCGGACAGCCTAAGGAGATTCCCGATACATCATTATTCAGGGAGATTCGCGCGGGAGTGACCACCTTTGCGACCATGGCCTACATCATTGCTGTCAATGTGAGTATATATCTTTGATCAGTTGTGAGGTTCATGTGCTGATTGAGACAGGCGATCATTCTCTCGCAGACGGGCGGCACTTGTGAGTGCGACTTGATAAACAGAGCCGACTGCGACACTATCGACAGCTACAAGGCCTGTAAAGAGAGTGAGTTGGCCGACATCCCAAAATTGAGCCTTGCTAACCTTGCAGATGTTCGACTTGACCTGATCACTGCGACTGCTGCCATCGCCGGCCTCGCCAGCTTCATCTTTGGTTTCTTCACCAACCTGCCAGTGGCGCTCGCGTAAGTACTAGCATTGTGTCAAGTATGGCTCTCACTGACAGTGAACACAGTCCTGGCATGGGTCTCAACGCATACTTCGCTTTCCAGGTCGTCGGCCCCAACGGCTCAGGCAACATTCCCTACCGTGTCGCCTTGACAGCAGTCTTCGTGGAGGGGCTCATCTTCATCGTCCTTGCTCTTACCGGAATGCGCCAGTGGCTTGTGAAGCTCATTCCCGCTACTATCAAGACGGCAACCGGCGTCGGCATCGGCTTCTTCTTGACGGAAATCGGACTCTCTTACTCTGCCGGAATCGGTGCCATTACCGGAGGCTGGAAGTCTACCCCGCTCGCCATTGCGGGATGCCCTGTTGAGATGATCGATCCCGACACGCAGATGTGTGCTGGAGGTATCATGTCGAGCCCCAAGATGTGGACGGCAATCTTCGCTGGTGGTCTTGTTACGGCCTATCTGATGTCGTTCCGGGTCAAGTATGCTCTCATCATGGGTATTGCCCTGGTGTCGATCTTGTCATGGCCGTAAGTCATCCGCACTCTATGACGCGAATTCGCTGACCTTTCCAGACGTAACACATCCATCACCTATTTCCCCTACAACGAGGAGGGTGAGAATCGCTTCAACTTCTTCAAAAACGTTGTCACGTTCCATCCAATCGAGCATACCCTCAACGCTCTTGACTGGGATGTCACGAAGAACGGATCGCAATTCGCCCTGGCACTCTTCACTTTCCTCTATGTCGACATCATTGACGCCACGGCTACGCTGTACTCTATGGTCCGCTTCTGCGGCGTTGTCGACCCCAAGGATGGCGACTTCCCTCGTTCTACCATCGCCTACTGCTGCGACGCGGCATGTATCTCGATCGGCGCACTGTTCGGTTGTTCTCCAGTCACAGCCTTCATCGAGAGTGGTGCGGGTATCGCAGAGGGTGGCCGCACTGGACTGACATCCATGACCACCGGTCTTTGCTTCCTCGTCTCCATCTTCTTCGCTCCAATCTTTGCGTCTATCCCGCCTTGGGCAACTGGCTGCACGCTCGTTCTGGTAAGTCTCAAGATGTCTTGATAGGTGTTCCGGTCTAACTGTCGCAGGTCGGCTGCATGATGATTCGTCAGATTACCCAGATCAACTGGCGCTACATTGGCGATGTTCTCCCATCCTTTGTCGTCATGACTTTCATTCCCTTCTCGTACAGCGTCGCTTACGGCCTTATTGCGTAAGTTCATCCCATGGCATCTCTCTGACCACAACTGACAATCCCAGGGGCGTTTTCGTGTACACTGTTCTTAACGGCCTGATCGCCTTGACTGTCTGGCTGTCTGGAGGTAGAATCGAGCCCCGCGAGTACGATGCGAAGGAATACTGGTCCTGGAGAGGCTCTGGCAAGAAGCCTTGGTTCGTGCGCGCTGTCCGCAACAGCTGCTTCAGCAACGGCGACAACGACAGCAAGCGCCAGTTCAACATGCAGGATGACCACGATAGCTCCTACGCTCCGGGTTCGCGCATGGGTTCATCGGACCAAAAGGAGGACGGTGTTCACATGGTGACGATCCCACAGCGAGCGGTCACGCCGCGTTCCGTGCACTAAAAAAAAGAGTACTTGGTCTAGGGTTAGATTCTTCATTTTTGTTACGGAGGAGGCGATTTTCTTGCGAGAATATTGTGCCAGGTCTACTGGCTATATCACTTGAATCAGCTGTCAATGATTGTAGATAGCAATGAGACACCAGCTTTAAATGAATTCCTCTGCGATGATGGTGACATTGGTGGTCTGTGAGTGCCCGGCGTTCAGTACCTGGACTTTGCCTAGGTAGGCTTGGATAGTGCCCCGGCGAATCTTTGACCCTGGTCCCGTCCCACCGCGCCCCACTACAGCTCCGACCTTGCGTCAACGGTCCAGCACTCCGTCCGCAAACATTGAAGCTTCAATCTCCAGCTTACCAATTCCCATTCGAGTGCGAAACCCGATTTGACTGCGACGCGAACTACTCAGGCAACTACGACGCCTTGTAGAACACTCAAACAGTTCCGCGACCAATCCCTACCACTTTCACCAGTAACTACCCCTCCTCCGCCTCCAAGATGAGTGGTGGATGGAATACCAGTATGCGGCCCCCGAAAGAAACCCCAGCCCATTGCCTTCGCTAACTCTTGCAGTCGAGTCTGATGCAGTACGTGACTTTACCAGATTGAGACTGCGCCACGCTAACCGCTCAGGGCGTCTTCACCTACCTGCTCGAGAACCTCGGTGTCAAAGGCGTTCAGTTCGAAGAGCTGCTCACACTCTCTCCCGATGAATTAGCACCGCTGCAGCCAATCTACGGCATCATCTTCCTCTTCCGCTACCCTTCCGAAGGCCTGCCCGCGCGGCCAGCCGATTCCTACGATCGCGATGCCGCCGAGAGTCTCTTCTTCGCCCAGCAGACGATCCAGAATGCCTGCGGCACGCAAGCGCTACTGAGTGTCGTCCTCAACAAGACCAACGAGGTGGAGATTGGCGAGAAGCTTGGCGAATTCCGTGAATTCACCATGGTCCTGCCTCCCGAGTTCCGCGGGGAGGCGCTCAGCAACTCTGAGCTTATTCGCGATGTACACAACAGCTTCGCCAAGAGCAGTCCCTTCGTCGACGAGACTCAGAAGACGGGCGAGGCCGAGGATGCCTTCCACTTTATTGCCTACACGCCCATCAACGGCAAGCTCTATGAACTGGACGGACTGCAACCTGCGCCCATCTCGCACGGCGCCTGCACGACCGAGGAGTTCCCGACCAAGGTGACGCAGGTCCTGCAGGATCGCATGCTTACGTACGCCAGCTCTGAGATTCGGTTCAATGTGCTGGCCATGGTACGCGACCCGAGAATCGCAGCCAAGGAAATTGGCGATTCCGAGACCCTGGAGCGAGAGAACGAGAAGCGCCGCAACTGGCGATTCGAGAATGCCCTGCGTCGACACAACTTTGTCGGCTTCGCAGGCGAGGTTCTGAAAGGTGTTGTCGCCCAGAAAGTCGAGGGTGGCGATGCGGCGTATGATGCTTGGATCAAGGAGGGCCTTGAGCGGAGGAAGAGGGACGAGGATGCGGTGAGGTTGAGACGAAAGATGGGCGGCGGCGGTGACGAGGACGACGAGATGATCGGTTAAACATGTCAATGATACCATGAATAGAAGCGGGATTACGTTTGGGTTCATCTGGGGAAGGTGTTTACGCGTCGTGATAGCAAATGAAGCCATGAAACGCAGTTTGAACCTGGCCTGGAAGCCGACTTGGCCGTTTCATTTGGTTCGTTTCGTTTGGTTTGCATTGGCGTTCTATTCCCGGATTCTGATAAACAAGTTGGACAAAAGCTGATTGACCGCAGACATCCGGTTGGCATCGTCGCCTTTGTGAACGAATGTTCAGTTCGCCCTGTATCAGTACCATCCTCTGGAGGTTGATGAGGCTCTGATCGTCACTCTTTGCGTCCATATTTGTCCCCCGGCTCCATTACCTGGTGCTACATTACGGTCACTATAGCGTCTTTGTTGATCATATGGAGGCCATCGTCCTTCTGGCCTATCTGGTCTTTTTGGCCTCGACATTGGTGAGCGACTCGGGAGGCTAGACCTGCTCTCTTCACCTTTCATCCAGGGCAGGCTCGCCAGCCCTCCTTCCCAAAGCCCTTATGGAAAATTCGTATTCGTCTTCATCCCCACCGGCAGACGAATTATTCAGGTCTTTCCCAGACCTACTCACCTTTCACTTCCACACCACACCTCCACACCATCATACTTACCTGCAAATCCACACACTGCAAAGATGGCTAGAGTCAAAGCAGAGCAACCCACTGGCAACAATGGTCCAGTCAACGGTCGAGACCAGCAGCAGTGGGGTGGACGTGGACGTGGACGCGGACGTGGAGGTGGTCAACAGGGTCGAATGCATCGCACTATTGCCCCTTGGTCGGCTCGCGACGATTACGCCCTCAGACGTCGGTCCCCCTCCCCGAAACGTCGCTCCCCCGCCCCCCAGCCCTGGGTCTCCCTCGGCGGCCTCCACGACAACCTCCAGAAGTGGATGAGAAACGGAGAGCGGGACAAGACGCTGGCCGAATGGGGACTGGGACCTGGCGACTACGACATACTCGAGGATCGCGTCCTCGCCGATATTGCGGTCAAGTGGCCCGACGTGACCGTGGCTCTGCTCTACGACAAGGCGCAGGAGGCCAGAGACAGCGTCTACCGCCGCCTCGAGGGCCAGGGAAAAGTCCGCATCAGTCTTGAGGCCAGCGACTGGCTCGTTCTTGCGAGCTTGTGGACCATCATGAGTAAGGCTACTATTGAGCGAAGAGGATTGGTGTTGAGGTTAGAAAATCGCGGCTGACATTAGAATTCTCTCGCAGACAAGGCTCTTAGTCCCGTGAACCGCAAGTATCCGTTCGAACACACTTACGAGCAGATCCGCTCCTTCGACACCGGTGCGATGGATAATCAGTACGCTTTCTACTTCAAGAAGTGCGAGCTACTCCGCGCCCAGGATGCTCCGACTGCTGCCGCTGCCCCCATCACCCGTTGCCAGGTTTCGTCGGTTCCTGTCGCTGGTTCCTACATCATGGGAGAGCAGGCTCACATGCAGCCGGCCTGGATGGCGCCTCCCCCTCCTCATCCTTCTACCCAAGGTGGTTTCTGCACTGGCAACCATGGAGGCTCCTTCGTTCCCATGCTTCAGCAGGGAACCTGGGTGATGGGAGGAGAAATGGGTCAGCCGATCACTCATGGAGGCACCGCTGGACACTTCTACCCTGCGCCTCAGCATCATCCTGGAGCTCAGCCGCGTTCTACTATGACCTATTACTAAGTCGATACACGATATGGGAAAGAGCCACCTGGGATGGATTTGATGTGTACTTTGGTTGGCCTGGATTCTTCGTTGGGAATGGATATACGCGACGTCACGCAGAGGATGGAGTACAAAATGGATTGACTTTATCATATTCTGGTCGTGGCCATGGCGGATGAAGGGTATGGTGTCCAAGGATAGCAATTGAATGAGGAGATTCCCATGAATCGTGCTTGATGCTATTTAAATCTTCCGTTCTAAGTGTCGGTATAACTGTCAGCAGGGCGTAGGCTTTCGGCTGTTACGAAGCTCGTTACTGTGGGTGGAGGGGCCGCTTGCAACGGCCCAGACCACCTTCCGAATCCCCTTTTCTGCCGTCAATATTCCAACAGCCAGGATGATTCTGATGATGATTTCATCAGGTCGTGTTCCATTGTTCCTCGTTATGATAGACGTCCTAACGTAATCTTACTTTCGTCGCGCAAATATAGATGTAGAGACAGCTCTTTTTTACTACTCGTTATCAGAGATTGCTCGCCTTCGTACGAAATCAATACATTTCTAGTGTGAGACACTGAAGAGAAGATCGCTTTCACACATGGCTGACACAATCGGCCGGGTTTACGGTACATTGCTACACGTAATGGAATTGGTTCTACAAAAGTAACAAGTCTATCATTCCATCTTTCTTCTCAAAGAGTCATTTCCGGTACTTTCCCATCTTGCCGAGCCCTTTCCTCATCTCGTCGAATAATCACAGAAGCCAGCATTGGTGCGTCCCAGCACCTCATGAGCCGACTCTTTGCAAGGCCCATTGTAGTTCCAGCAGACTCTCAACAGTATTAGTCTTGCTGACGTTCCATCCATGCTGCCTTTGGTCTTCTAGGATCAAATCGTCGTTCTGCAGGATGGTTTCCCAGTCCCTAGTCATTGGGTCCGCCTGGAGGTGACTCTGGTTTTCGGAATCCTTGGTGTAGTCGTATGTGAGCCAGAATTGCTTGTTGACGTCTTTGTATGTATTCCTCCAGACCTCCATGGCAAAAGCTTTGGTCCAGGGATAGCCAACTGTATGTATGAAATCATGATTCTGATGCCTACGACGAATGCTTCTTTCATATTTGGGCCAATAACGCATGGTCAGGATCGGTGGTTTGTTTTTGCTTCGAACAACCAATAAATGATGAAGCAAAACTGTTGAATGCCACCCTTCTACTACCATCTCACGGAACTCCCTGCAATCGTCAAGGCGATGCTGTGTTGTGTTGCACAAGGGGCATCCGTCAATGTCGCCGAAAGGGCCTGGCCAGATGCAATCGATCAACGCATGACCGCGAGCTGAACAGTTTCCGTAGACAACGTTGGCGTTCTCGGCGTCTCGTTTGAGGTAATCAGATCCTTTCGTTAACATGTGGGTGGCGGGGTCCGGGGTCTGCTTTGGAGGTGCCCAGCCCGACAACGGATGACGACGGGAGGATATCTGATGTTTGCCACTTGAGGTGATCTTTTCTGGTACAACAGAGCTCGTTTGATCCTCTTCACTTTGGATACTGTCGTTTTCTTCATCCATTGCGGATTCATTGATTTGGCTGGCATGTGGTTAGTGACTTGTCTCTTTTCTTATTGTCAGGGATTTGCAAACCTAGATCCATCTTGAATGCCCTTGTTCCGACAGCTCTCCTCGATAAGCCGTTCGACATTTTTTCGTTTCGATTCGTAGTAGTGGTCGCTCATGTCAATGGACCCAGATCACGGATCCCATACCTTAGCTTCCCTCAACTCGGGGTTAATCCTCGCAATTGAGTTGTTGCTCTGCCCATAAAGCAGGAAATACGTGTATCCTGGCGCTCCAATGGCCCACGAATTCCTAGCATAAGGTTTTCGGGACCCAGGATGCGTATCTTCTCCGGTTTCGCAGAAAACTCGGATTAGGTCGCAAGAGCCCTGTTCATTTAGTCGAAGACGAACTGCTGCTTGGAGCACGTATCTGATACGGCTGTGCCCAGACGAGAAATCGATGTGTTTGGGCGTAGGGCGCCTATCACGGATATGAACGACCTGCAGCTCAGCGAGTACAGCCTGATCGCCGTCTGCAGGAGTGTACTCTAGACGCAAGAATTCAGGGTTGAGGAGGCATCGTGGATCGATGCCCAAGTCTTTGTCAAGATCTTGATCTATCAATTTTCCAAGATCGAGAGGGGCTGAAGGGTCCGATCGTGCGATGCTGAAACAAGCGCTCCTCGCCTTCCATTGACTTTCCGGGGCCGTTTCACTGACAACGGGAAGAAGAAAAAAGCCATGCTCTCCCATCTGGTCCAGAGAGTCGATTCCGGGAATTCCGAGGAGATCAGTTCTTGGAATGATGGGCCATTGCGCGACGACAATGATGCGCAAACGTCAACTTTGGCTTTCGCATGCCTCTCTCCGTCGCAAGGGCGGAAATAGAGCCAGGCGTGTCGGAATAGCTGGTACTGTTCCTCTCTCTTTCGTAAGGGATGTGTGGCGGATCTTTCTTCCGAAGGAAGTTGCGAGTTGATGATTCTGATGATGACGGTGAGGCAGTCTAGCCCAGAAGTTTTGTCCAGCTCCCACCGAGGCCCAGTGCCCTCGGTCCAGCTGAAGAGAAGGAGTTCATCTTGGACTATTCTCGTGTCTGTGCAGTTCTTCGTGATTTCGCGGATGTCTCTCATCTTTCAGGCAAGCCTTTCTGTTAATCTTGAAACATTGATTCGGACCGTGTAAGAGGCGAATGGGGGGAGGGTGAGTGATGCCGGGACGAAAAACAGAGAAGAAGTGAGAATGTGTGATGTGTGGTATGAAGAAAAAAGGCTAGGCGAATAAGTGCAGTTGGAGGGACATTATGAGGAAGGAATTTACTAGCTAACTGTCCTTCACGGTCTGCAGTCACCTGACCGCGTGAGTCTTCATCGTGCTTTCCACATTTACCCTCTACCAAGCTTGCCCTTCCGTTTATTTCGGAATAAACAATATGCATTTGAACCAGTGTTGACGAATAGAAATATTTACAAGGGCATGATATTGTATGCTATAAGATGAACCCAGCCCCTTCTACATGGCCTGAACCTGCTTCTTTGAGTGACTAACTCCTTCTCATATCAAGACAAAGGGAAGAGCTGCATGTACAATGTAAGACTAAAGATATGCTGCTGGGACGCCAAACTGGAAATTTGACACGCAAATTCAATTTGGTATTGCGGCACCTGGGCTTTAATAGCAAAGGTTGACTTCTCGCTCGTTGGACTTCGGGAGTGGCAGCTAGGAATGCGAGGCGGAGTCAAACATTTTACACGAAGAAAGCGCTATTCACAACAACGACGTGGGGATGATGGATAATCCTGAGTTGTCTAATTTACAGACTATTCAAGTGAAAACTTTAACGATGACCCAAACAACATCAATACCACTCTCGGTCGGTGGTCGTCTTTATACCTATCTTCATACCGCACCATAGCAACGGAAACCATGCCTAACATCGACGTCCATCACCACCTCAATTAAGCTCCCAAGTCAGCCATCGCCCGAATTGCCATTAGCTTATAGTTAGAGCAGCAACGTGGAGTCCATTCCGACAGGGCTCGGGAGTCTTCGTCGAACTTTTGGCGTCTCTGGCGTTGGGCCTCTTCCGAGAACTCGGACCTGTCGCTCGAAGGACTTGACGTCTTCTCCTGAATCTCGTATCGTCTGTTGGGAACGTTGAGAAACAGCAAAGGGGTTTCGAACCAATCGGTCTCGGTGTACAAGTTGGGGGACGCCGGGTAACGCTGTGCGATGTACATCTTGATGAACTTCCGCACCTTTCCCCAATCCAAGTCGCCGTGCTCCTTGACCACGTTCTCCACATAGCTGGTCAGCTTCGGCGGGGGCTGTCTCCCCGGAATCTTTGTCGAGAAGTCGACAAAGGCTGAGATACCCGGGTACTCGGTCCATCTCGCGTTCTCACGCGTCTCGAAGTCGAGAATGCGGTCAATATCGACCCAGTCCATGACGGCGAACACGGCCGATGTCTCATAGGGACACTTGATGATGGGGCCGACTGACTTGCGGCCGTTAAAGAGTTGTCTCCATGTCTGACTCTCCATGCTCCGGCGCTTGTTCTTGAGCTTCTCCGAGTATGGGGCGTAGCGCGTGATGATGTAGTCTTTGGCCATGCAAGTCCACTTCAGACCCGCTGCGTCCTTGCGGCTATCGATGCGGATGAGGGACTCGATCTCATGGCGGCCATGTTTCACTGCGTTGAGGGCAGGGTTCTTCGCATCTGAAAGGGGCCAATGTACAGCCTCGGAACAAAGGTGACGAAGCCTCTCGGCGCGGGCTTGCGTTGTTGGGCTCATGAAACGGCCCGACTCGTTCTCGGAGAGAATGTGCGAGAGCCAATCTGTCGCTTCTGCGGCCTTTGGGGACGGAAAGTCTCCGGAGGGCCGCGGGGTATATGTCAGGGCAGTTTGGAGGTTACCCATTTTGAAGTCGACGCGCTTGTTGTATTGGGAAGTCATTGTAATGGATTTGAGTTGTAGGTTGTGTTGTGGAAGGTATAGCCGGTGAATGTGAAGAAAGTGAACGATAGTACTGACCAGTGAAGACGAGGAAAGAGGATGGAAGAGAAGTAATGAATTGGAGTGCTATAGGGATAAAGTGGCTTTTATGGAGGGTATTAAGAGGGTATCTCCGTTTGGAACCTTGCCTCAGAAGTGGCGCAATGGGTTGTATGGCTACATGAGTAGGGGTAGGATGCAATCCAAAAGACTCTGGTATCTCCGATTGCTTTGCGGACACCTCGACGTTAGAGTTTGGCACGCAATTCGGTTCATGGCTCCAGCTTCAATTTTATGTTCAACGGCTATGGATACTACCCTACATCTGGCACTCTGCACAGGCTATAACAGTGCTGCTCACGTTCACACAGCTTGTGAGCTGAGGAAGGGGAGGTTGCATTCTCGAGGCAGAGAAAAACGGACCATAGTTAGGAGCTGCTTGGCCTCCATACAAGGCTCAGAGCTTGACGGTGTAGTTCACTATTACCCAGACTGAATTGTCGACAGAAGATGCAGAGCTGAGAAGGTGCTGGGGCATACGAGGACATGCTGCAGACGCTGAGATGGTACATGGAGGAACTCTGCAATAGGCACCCTAACCCTTTGTCAAACTCTTGGAAAGAATGTAAGTATCGTGACGTGAAAGGTTGCTACTCATCTTACGGGTGGGCAATCTAGTGGACTTAAAGAATTAACATGGCATGTACTCTCAAAGATAGCAGCAACGTTGAGTTTAGACCAGGGCAAGAGATCATTGGGGGTGCTACCAGAAGGTTGAGTGAGGTTGAATTAAGACACGGCTACGTAGATATCTCCACCTTTCTATGCGTTAAGAGGAACATATTCATCAATCCAATTTTAACACAGGAGCTTCCCGGAATCCCTGCAAGCTCATTGCGACAACAAAAAGATCGCGAAAACCAACCTTTACACAATGCTACCGAGACGCATGCCATTGAGTCTTTTCAGGCGATCCAAGCCGTCGCTGTGCCGCGCCTACAGCTCCAGCCATGCCATCAGAGGTGCGCTCCCAACCAAACTACCATCTTCGCATCCCGCATCGACTAACCCACTTTGTAGAGCACGATGTGATAATCCTGCGTCAACGAGGGACCAAGGAGCCCAAATTTCACCTCTCACCCCCTCTCCGATCGGACGCGGCGATCAAACTTTCCTATGGCAGCAAAGTCAACGGCTCCGACATCATTGGAAAGTCCTTTTCCGACACGATCAAGGACAGCGGCGGCCGCAATGTGCGACTCCTCGAGGCTTCCCTAGGGCAATACGTCGCCAACTCCCCGCGCGTGGCGACACCGGTATGAAACGACTTCTTCCCAGGACCTGAAATATTGAGAAACACAAAAGAGGTCGACAAAGACTGAAACGCGCATGCGGCAACTCTCGGGCTAGATCTATCCCCAGGACGCCAACCTCATTGTGTCCTTCCTCGATCTGAACCTCCCGGTACCCGGCGAGGATCCGGACTTTGACGCCGGCCCGCCCGTCGAGATCTTCGAGGCCGGCACGGGCATGGGCTCGCTGACGCTGCATCTCGCGCGCGCGATCCACGGCGCGAATTCACCCTTGCCGCCGCGCCTTCGCGACGCACTCTGCACGGCGCCGTACGCGAGAAATACCCTACGGAAGGAGGTTGCGTCAGACGATGCGGCGGAGGAGGACAAGGAGGTACATAAGGCCGTACCGCACGCCCTCGACATCGAAGACCCGGAACTCGCGGCGCTGTACAAGGAGCACCTGGCGAGTCGCCGGGCAATCCTGCACACGCTGGACGTGAACCCGACATCGAGCCGGATGGCGCACGGCCTCGTTCGGCACTTCAAGAGGGGTCTGTACCTCTCCAACGTCGACTTCCACGTCTGCACGATTCGATCGTACCTCGCCTCGCGCCTTGCACAAAATGGAGGCGTAGCATTCCTCTCACATGTGATTCTCGACCTCCCGGCCTCGCAGGATTACGCCGAGATGGCCGTCAAGGCTCTCCAGCCCGACGGGAAAGTCGTCATCTTCTTCCCGTCCATCACGCAGATCCTCGACTTTGTCATCTGGGCAAAGGACACGGAGCAGCCGCTGGTGCAGGACCGCGTCGTGGAGCTGCAGACGTCGACGTCGGGTGATGACATGTTCCAGGACGGCACGGGCGGTCGGAACTGGGATGTCAAGGTTGTGGCTATTCGCAAGGCGATTGAGAGAGGTGAGACGAGCGCGGCGGCAAGGGGGATCGTTTGTCGACCCAAGGTTGGGTCGCGGGTTGTTGGGGGTGGCTTCGTTGCGGTGTTTACCAAGTTGCCTCAGATGGCTGCCAAGCTGGAGGAGAGCTCGGATGAGGTTGCACCTGTCCCTGAGACTACAACTATCTCTGAGATTGCATCTGTCTCTGAGGTTGAGGTGTTGCCTGAGACCGAGGCATTATCTGGAAAAGAAGCGCCAGCAAGCTCATAGACGTGAACTTATCAGCGCGGAAGCAATGAAGGAGAAGAGCGCGAGCTAGTAAGGTCTTCATACCTCCTCCGCCTGCTCCTCCTGTAGGATATTTGTACGATACCTGTATACATAATGGCAGTCTTGATACACCACATAGAGGAAAAGAAACACATAAAGACAACTTCCGCCATAGGCAGAACAGAGAGGGGTTTATTCATGTCCACATCGGTAAAGCGAAAGAACAAAAGATCGCGGAAGCCAACCAAACCTCCAGGTCGATCTTGATCTTCCATGGGCTTGAGGACATGGATGATAAAAGACCAAAAACATACAACACCAGGTATTCGCTGGTCGTCACCGACCCAACTACTAATCCGGCCCTCATTGGCTTATCTATGGGAGAGCGGACGGGATCCCGAGTTTTCCAATGGGTATGGTCGTATGTGACAACATGACGAAGCCAAGTTGACTATATCGTGATCAGAGCGCAAACAACCTTCCAGCCCATCGCAGAGCTGTTCCCAGTGCACAATGACTATAATTTCTAGTTCTCGTTCGATCCTCAATGAGATGGTCGCCTCAATATGATTGTAAAAAGTGGAGTTTCTCTGCGCTGACAAGCACTACATGGTGTCGCGAAGTAAATATCCCAATTATTCAGGGTTTACATGATGGTGTTGGAGATCACAGTATAAATACAGTGCGCATTTACTTTCCGCACGAATTTCTCTACTCCACACTCCATGGCGTTTACATCTCCAACCTCACTCGATCATTGTCAAGCCTTGAAGCAACATTTCTCATCCTGCTCAAACCAAACTCATTTTAAATCGATAAAATGACTTCTACGAGTACCGTCACGCAGCTCTCTATCCCGCTGCCCCGCTCCCTCGATACCCGCATCCACATCCACCTGAGCACCAAGGCCAAGGTGGCAACCCTCTTCCTGACCTCAGTGACGCAAGACGAACAGTCGGGACCGGCAGCACTTGGCTCGTTCGTATACGCACTGCCAAACGTATTTTCCATCCCACATACCACTAAAACTGACAAACTTATCAATACGAGCTTTTGTTTACTGACGCATGCAAACAGAGACTTGAGCCGGCTCAGCCCATCTCAACGGCCATTTACTCGGTGGAGTCAACGCTGGAGTTCACGACGAGGATGGCCAAGCTGCTAGCCAAGAGAGCCAACATGCCCGTTTACGTCGGATGCTCCATCAATCTCGGCGGCGCGGCCATGGGTCTCTCGGTGGAGGAGGAGATGGAGGCGTTCCGGGCCATCGTCGACGTCGTCACGGCGAAGCTCAAGGGAGAGCCCTTGGTGAACGGTGCCTGAACACTCCCAACTCTCAGTGACGATTTTCTGGCGCAAGGGGTGCTGGTCTATAGACTTGTGTCACACAGTTCATTTCCGCCCGTGTCTACCGCATTTGTAGATCGTCACTTGCGATCTTTGAAGGGAGCGGGAGCGGGAGCGAAAGGGGCGAGGCCTCGCTGCTTGCAACTTCCTGAAGCGGATGGGTGACAGTCACACAGGGCTTAGGGAGTGAACATGCGGCGTGCCGGGCTCACGAGGGGGCCCCGATGCCTGGACGCGGCGGACCGAGGGATGAACGCCAACTTGTGGCTTCGGGCCGTTCGGCTGCAAGTGTGGAGTTGCCGGGCTGAGTCTGCAAGAAGGAGGGAGAGGCACATCATCACGAACCGGCGAGAAGTCTGTACGGCGCGACGGATGTTATGGAGACAACAGCTATACCCAACGTCATAGACAACAAGGATCATCATCTCCAATTCTACGAGGTTGCGCTCGAGGTTGCTATGACAGCGTGCGCAAATAATGCAAATGACCCGGATGGAAAGTTCGGCAGGCGACATCTCGGACCATGGCACCCGGCGTTTTCGAAGTTTGTGTTCTTGTTCTAATCCCATGTCACTGATTCTCGTTGTCGACGTTTTGACTTCCTTCTGGAATCTCTGGAAGGTGCTTGCCGCCCGAGTCTAGAACGTGGCTAAGACGCGCCCGAGCAATCTGAGCTTTTGTCGTCCGTTGATTTCGGGCACATGGTTGTTTATTAAGATTGTTTTGTCTTGTTTCGTGGTAGAAGTTCGGCTCATATTTTTTTTTTCTTTTTCTTGTGGAAGAACACCTCTAAAGAGTTGAGGTGCGGATGCGCTCTGACGGGGGTCACAGGATCTGTACGTAATACCTTGAACCTGGGAACCTCGAGCTGAAGAGCGGCAAGCTTCGTTGAGTCGGCAGCAAATCGGTGGTGATGACTCGCAAAGGCAACAAGTCTGGGAACCTGTGCGGCCTGGCATTCTCCTTTTCACAACTCCCCCGTCAGACAGAGAGTTGACGACTTGCGATTATAAAGTCCACCTTCCAAAGGGGGGCGGATAGTGGGCGGAAACCCCCTTGCGGCGTCAGGTTGAACCCTCGGGGTTTGATCCTCGCCTCCTTTCCCCCGATTTGAGGATTCAACAGACCCAGAGTTGTCGAGGGGACAGTATTCGTTACGATTGGCAATTGGGAGGGAATCTTGTCACTTGCGGTGTGCACGAAAGAAAGGTTTCCTCTGTGCGACGTTTGTGGAGTCCCACCGCATTTTCTGGCAACGTAAAAAAAAAAAGAAAGAAAAAAAAAAAGATGCAGGCAAATGCCCGTACTCAAGGGGTTGACCGTTGCAGGGATCGGTCAACTTGTTTTCTATGTGTTCCATGCCCGTTGTCCAAGACTCTCTACCTTGCCGAAGATCATGTACTAGTTCAAAATACTCAACTCAATCCTATCTAAGGTACATCAAGGTAGATTGAGCTATAGGGGTACTTCATACTTACTATTTACTCTCGAGGTAAGTAGGGCCTGGCCAAATACCTGGAAGATCCAAGAAGCTTTCCTTCGAATTCCAGCGCACAGCAAGAGCAAGAGTGACCCACGTGCTGTCTGAGGTAAAAGTGAACGCTGGCAGGAACGACAGACTTTATCGACATGGCGTGGTGGGGGAGAAAGAGCCTGCCCCATCTGGTCAACGCAGGAGGAACGAGGGGTAGAAAGGAGCACGGGCCATAAGGACTGCAACTCCGTAAAGTACCTAGGGGAAGTATCCAAATGTCCACAAGTCCCATCATCCATGAGGTGAGCTCAGGATTTTTTTTCTCCTCATGGTGGGCAGCAGTGCAGCTGTGGAAGGACCTGGACTGGACGGACTGTGAGACCGACACATATCGGCGGAAGGATCGACCAGCAGGACCACCTTTTACACCTTCCCTCTGCCGTTTGCTACCGTCTTGATTCTCCCGTCTGCCACCGTATTGTTTCCCGGTTTCTAACTGTCTGCCAGTTTCGACTTCTTCCATCCATCCCATCGGATTTCTCCTGATTCCGTCCTTAGAATCGCCCCTGCCTCTCCAAACACCAACCCCATTCACATGCCCACTCGACGAGTTGTGAACTTCAATCTCACAGCCTGTTTTCTCAGCATCAAGTGGTGGATAAAGTACATGCACCCCCATAGCTGTCTAGATGCCGGGGGCAACGAGGAAAAGCTTGTGATTAGCAAGGAGAGGACAGACAGTCGATATGCATGTGTTCTTTTACACGACACTGATACACAAATGACAGCACAACACATTAAACTTTGGTATTTTCATTGCCACGACTGTTGGGACGGGAAGACCTCAGATACCTTAGAGAAGACGGTACGGACTGGCTGAAATTAGTACTTCCCGCGCCTCTCACTCGCACATGTGCATCTGAGGTGCCTCTGCCTCTTCCCCCTCTTGACCACCTTCCTTGCTTGCCTCACCTGCTCAGGTCATTCAAACGGAGAACAGACCCCTCAAACTGTCCATCTCTCTCCCACAGAAAGCAGCCATCTGGGGGCCAAGACACCTAGGTACCTTTACCTGCCTCTGCGTCAAGGTAACATACCACTGAGCTGCCCGTGAAGTGAAAGGTGCAGTGCGGCGTGCCCTCGCTACGGTCTACTTGACCTTACTGCGTACCGTACTGGATGGGCCCAGATGCGCTACGACGGACCACTAGCGCTGTGACTCTGTACTTTGGACCGGGGACCTTTAACTGACCCCACCTCTGCCCGAGGTACCTTCTCTCCAGTCGCAACTGCTCTTCTCTGCCCGCTTGAAATACCACGTCCAAGGTACCATACCGTTAGGAGGCGGTCTCGTCCAGAGGTACTCCGTACCTTACCTATTACCCGCTACTCCGCCGCACCATAGTTATCGCGAAAAAAAAGCTGACAGGCCGACCCCACCATTTCACCAGTCAGTGTGTTGCCAGTCGCCAATGTCAACGCCCACTGCCCTTACTACCGACCGTGGCCCTGGCCTAACAACTTCAACGACTGCCCCTCTCTACCTTACCCTCCCGCCGTGCTCGACAACCACCCGACCGACCGACCTCACATCATCGCTCCGTCGCTCGAATCCTCCCCCGATTCTCGACCACCTGACAAGTCGCCAACCTCTATTTTTTTCGTTCAACTCTTCTTTTTCCAAATTATCCCCAGATAGGCGCCAGTCATGGCCTGGCAGCCGGCCCCAGAGTCCTTGAGCCAGCTGGCTGCTTGCCTCAAGGACTCGCTCAGCGGATTCGACAAGAATGCGCAGAAGCAGGCAGAGATCGTAAGTTGCCCACCATTCGTCCCGTTTGCCCCTTGCGACACTTACTAACTGCCATTGATGCGCAGATGCTCACGCAGGCCAAGGCCTCTCCCGACTTCAACAACTATCTCGCATACCTTTTCTCCAGCGCCGATCCGCCCCAGGGTGTACAATGCTCCGCCCAAGACTTCCACCTCGTGCGCTCTGCCGCTGCCATCATGCTGAAGAACAATGTGCGCACCAACTACAAGCAGATTCCCGAGAGCAGCTTGGCCCTCATCAAGATGGCTATTCCCCTCGGTATCCAGGACAAGAACTCCCAGGTCCGCAACTACGCCGGCAACATCGCGACCGAGATCATCAGGAGAGGCGGTATCTTGAGCTGGCCTGAATTGCTTCCCCAGCTTCTCAGTCTCATCTCGAACGAGAACGGTCAGATTTCCAACGAGGGTCAGGAGGGCGCAATGTCCGCCATGGCCAAGATTTGCGAGGACAACGTCAAGGTTCTGGAGCGTGAGCACAACGGCCAACGCCCCCTGAACTTTTTGCTCCCCAAGTTTATCGAGGCCACTAAGAGCGAGCTGCCCAAGGTCCGCGCAAAGGCCCTGACTGCCATCAATGTCTTCACCCCGCGCAAGTCTCAGGCGATGCTCAACAACATTGACAGCCTGCTGAACCACCTCTTTACCCTGGCTGGCGACCAGCACCCCGATGTGCGCCGCCAGGTGTGCCACGCCTTCGTCCAGCTGGTCGAGACCCGCCCCGACAAGCTGCAGCCCCACATTGCTGGCCTTGTCGACTACATCATCACCCAGCAGAAGAGTGATGACGAAGATCTGGCATGCGAGGCCGCCGAGTTCTGGCTGGCCGTGGGCGAGCATGAGGACCTCTGGCGCTCCCTGACGCCCTACCTCGACAAGATCATCCCCGTATTGCTGGAGGGTATGGTCTACAGTGGGGAGGACATTGCCCTTCTCGGCGGTGCATCAGACGATGAGGAAGAAGAAGACCGCGAGGAGGACATCAAGCCGCAATTCGCCAAGAAGTCGGCGGCCAGGGGTAAGGGTGGCGAGGCCTCAGCCGATACCGCCCAGAACGGAAATGCCTACGAGAAGCTGGCTAGCATGGATGACGATCTGGAGGAGGGCGAGATTGACGACCTTGACGATGGCGACGAGAACCCCGACGAACGTTGGACTATCCGCAAGTGCTCCGCCGCTGCTCTCGACGTCTTTGCGCGTGACTTTTCCGACCCTGTCTTCACTGCGATCCTGCCCTACCTGACGAGCAACCTCAAGCATGAGGAATGGCAGTACAGAGAGGCCGCTGTCCTGGCGCTCGGCGCAGTCGCCGAGGGAACCATCAACGCCGTTACCCCCCACCTGCCGGAGCTCGTACCCTACCTCCTCTCACTCCTCGGAGACAACGAGCCCATCGTCAGGCAAATTACCTGCTGGACGCTCGGCCGCTACTCACAGTGGGCTGCGAACCTCGATCAGAACCAAAAGGTCACCTACTTTGAGCCCATGATGGAAGGCATTCTCCGCAAGATGCTCGACAAGAACAAGAAGGTCCAGGAAGCTGCGGCGTCCGCTTTCGCCAACCTTGAAGAGAAGTCCGGAAAGGTTCTCGAGCCCTACTGCATTCCTATTCTGCAGCAGTTCGTCCAGTGTTTTGCCCGGTACAAGGACAGAAACATGTATATCTTGTACGACTGCGTCCAAACCTTGGCGGAGAACATTGGTCCCGTTATTGCTCAGCCGAACGCTATGGGCCTCCTGATGCCTGCCTTGATTGAACGCTACCAAAAGGTCAGCGACGACTCGCGCGAGCTCTTCCCTCTGCTAGAGTGCCTCTCTTACGTTGCCATGGCGCTGGGCTCAGCCTTCACCCCTTATGCGCAGCCCATCTTCGTAAGATGCGTCAACATTATCCACACAAACCTCGAGCAAAGTCTGCAGGCCACCAACAACCCAACGCTCGACTCCCCAGACAAGGACTTCCTCGTCACGAGTCTCGACCTATTGAGTGCTATCATCCAGTCTCTTGATGAGGACAAGAAGCAGGAGCTGGTCAGGGGCTCAGAGGGAACGTATTTCGAGCTTCTCGGCTTCTGTCTCGAGGATCCCCAGGACGATGTCCGGCAATCAGCTTACGCCCTGCTGGGAGACTGCGCGAAATACGTTTTCCCCCAGCTTGAGAAGCACCTGAACTCTATTTTCCCCATCTTGCTGAAGCAGCTGGATCTCGACAACATTCTCGACGAGGAGATTGACAGTGGCTTCAGCGTTGTCAACAATGCATGCTGGTCCGCTGGCGAGCTCGTCATGGTCAACAGCAAGGCAATCTCTCCTTTTGTCCCCGAACTCCTGCAGCGCTTGGTCGAGATCATTTCGAACCCTGGTGTACAAAATGCCGTCAATGAGAACGCAGCTATTGCTCTCGGCCGCCTTGGTCTTCACAATTCTGAAGCCCTCGCCCCTCTACTGCCAACCTTTGCCGAGGACTTCCTCTCAGCTATGGAGCACGTCGAGTTCCTGGAAGAGAAGGCCACTGCCTTCAAAGGCTTTACCCTGGTCGTTGGACAGAACCCCCAAGCTATGGAGAAGGCGCTTCCCCAGCTCTTCGTTGCCATTGCAAGGTACAAGGACATTAATTTGAGGAACCCAATTAAGGCCGAACTGCACGAGCACTTCCAGAAGGTCAGCATCAACATCCATCCCTCGCGCAGCGATATCTACTGACATAGCCTAGGTCATAAACATGTACCGGGAAATGATTCCTCAGTTCAACGACTTTGTGAACCAAATGCGGCCCGAGGATCAGGGTAAACTCCGCCAATACTACTCTGCATGATTAGGGCATGTGGACGCTTGAACGTTTGCGTATGAAGACGACGTTGAACACGAAGAAAAAGGGCCCAGTTTTGAGCAATCTTTCATGATATGACTTGGGGAGGAAAATACCACCGAGGCGTCCTTTACAAATGAGTAATGACGATGCTTTTTGGGAGAAAGAGCAGAGCAGAGAAGAGAGGAAGACACATATCAAGGAAGCAAAAACGGCTTGTAATTGGGTCGCAAGAGAAGATCGAGTCGAAAGAAAGAATCCGACAGAGTTGCGACGTGAAACAAACACACCTGGCAATCAGCTTTTCTCTGCGACACAAGTGATCGGGGGGCAGCTGAGACGGATCGTTTTTCTTTTTTCTTTTTCACACAGCATACCGACGGAGCCAGCATCATGTGACGGGGTGTTTAGGGGCAGAGCAGCTTGGAGATGAGACGCTCTTCTTTTTTTTTTTCTTGGTACACGAGCTATTTGCTTTGTGGCTCGTGGTGGAAGGGTCAAAGTAATGGGAAACATTCGGTGACTGGGCGCCTTTCAATCAAGCGCCTGGGAGCCGGACAAACTTCAAAGCTTGCTGGGGACCATTGTGTTTCCAAGGCAATATTTGGAGTGAACCAACACTCAGAGAGAAGGTTGGAGGTTGAACGCCACACAACCCGTGCGCAACAGAACAAAACACACGGCTGCCGGTATTGAAATGGGAAGCGAAGGCGTCATGATGCATGCAAAAGACACACCAAAATGGGGCTTTAACCGTCGTAGATAGGTAGATAGGGTAGATAGCTTTAGCATAGGGTTTCTTACAACGCCAGCTGTCCCCGAGTGGGCGCCGCGCGATATGGAGTTTTGGTATCTTCAGGTATTGTGAGAGATGATGGTGATCTGTGTGGTATTGTTGATTATGTGTGAATGCTCTCAGCTACAAATGCAGGTGCGTTGATGACCGGGGGCGCGGGCTGACTGTTGAAGATGTGTATTGCTGTATGCTTCGGCCTTATGAGGGACGCGCAGAAGTCGACCTTGCTTCGATAGGGGTTCGGTGTTGATGAGAGCTTGAGTATTACTATGGGACTTCAAGTATGCGATCCATAGGCTGATCCCAGTTTTGAGGGGGAGGGGGGGCTGAAAGGCGTATATAACAGCAGTCTGGGATCGTTGCGACTTCATCTAGCTGACCAGATAGTTTCGGAGTGCCCATCGCGGGGGCGCCGCCAAGTTGTAGGCGACGAAGGAGGATATCTGATTGAAGACTGACATGATCGGTGGGAGTGTCTAGCTGGATCCGATGACTGAATGGACGGTTAGTATCGCAGTCCGTAGGACCCCCGGTTCGATGGTGCTGGTTGCTTGGGTATTCCTTCGTGATTACCCCCGGGCCGGCAATCGGTACGGGGAGAGTGAGATTCAAAGATAGACGTCTGAAGCTTGATGAAGAGGAAGTCATCTGCATCCCCCGGCCGGCCATCAAAGAGCACGTCAGTCTCCGCGAATTCCCCTTTGCTACCAAATCAGGCGATGTGCGAACTCAAACGAACTCTTTCCTGAAGATACGATCGAGCTTTTTAAGGCCGATCATGAGGAAGAGGGTTCAGCAAAGGGTGTATGACATATGTTGAGATGGTCGCGAAAAGGAGAACGACGAGATTCTCACCTTTGAAGACAGAAAGACAAGATCCCCTATTCCCACGGCGCACTCTCGCCAGTAAACCCATGCAACAATTCGAAGTACTGTCGTTGGGTTCCATTCTGCTAAGCCTGGATCCGTTTATGGCGGAGATGTTGGGTCACGAAGCCCTCATATTTCATCGACATTTCGTCTCCAAAAGCCATGCAGACCGAGTTCAATAAGTAAGACCTCAGTATTCATGATCGCTACCTGGGTAAAGTATATTGGAAGCGAATACGTAGGCAGTGACTACTAGCAGTGCCATGAGCTATAACTCCTGTTTTGTCGGAGGATAAGTATTAAAATGGCCAGAGTTTCTGATAGTGAGGACAGCTCGCTCGTCGGCATCAAGCAGCTGCGAAGAAGACCCAGCTGGCGCATGGCTAATACACACGATAATGCGATGGACTTGAGAGAATCATGTCCGCCTTCACTCTCTATCTCTACATATAGTTGACCTATCATGCTAGGAATCATTTTTCGTCTGGTTCAGTATGTCAACTGCAAGACCGTAGCATACGTGCTCAACGCAGCTGCCCCGTTTCCATTCACAGGCTTGAGATTGAGAAGGCCCAGTAAACGAAAAGAGCGAGAGAAGCATTGTTGACGTTTGGCAGGCCACAGTGACAAACTCAGCACATTTGAGGTATGGAGGTCTATGAGTCTGTTCGAAGTCATCTTCACAGGTGGTAAACCAGCGGACTCTATCAGGGGCCTAGATCGCAATCACAACTCCAAGGACAAGTCAACTCAGCATATGGATACGCGAAAATAATGACTGATCAGCAAACCCCTGAGGCCATGCCCTTTCCTCATTTAACAGAACCCCTATCTCGAGGAGCGTCACCAGGAGCTAATGAATAGTAACATCCACTCCGAGTGATAGGCTTATCAAAGTCTTGGAGCTTCATTGATCATTCGCTTCTTGTTCAAGTGAAAATCGCCTCCTCCCAGAAGTATGCCCAGCCAGACCCAAGCTTCTAGTCAAATGTAGACGGCCCTATCGGATCGAAGACAACCGGGCACGAAGAGGCCATCGCCCGACGAGGTCTGTAGGGGTACCCCACTCTCACGACTATGGAGTACCGCCCGGAGAAAACCTGCCTAACCGGTCGATCCATCTGCTCATTTCCTAGAGGAAACACGTAGAACGGTTAGTGGACTCCAAGGAGTCGAGGTGAAAAGGACAGCAACCGAAGAGCTTACGATAAAATAGACCAGCAATCTCAGAAAGACGAGATACTTCCAAGATTGAAGACGTTTAATGGCCGAGTCTTAGCCATATCGGTGACTCTCTGCTACCTGGCATGCATGGTTCTCCAGCCTAGCCAGCCAATACATCAAAAATGACCATCCTAACCCCCTTCTATACGGCCGTTGCATGTCTAGCATCATCACCGCCGTTATCATCATGCAGTAATCTCCAGCCTCGTATCTTCCTCTCCTCCATTCATGATCCACATCCCTCATCAACCCGCCGTGCCGTCAAACCCCGATGAACTGACAGGGAAGCAAAACCGCATCTAGTCCCCCACCAGCTGGGCCTCGCCTCGCCTCGCCTCGCTTCGCCTTACTTTGTCAGGTCACTTCTTGGCCGATCATATGCAATTCTCCGCCTCTTACCAACTAAACTAAACAAGCAGCCAGTCAAACCAGCAAAGCTAGCCATTCATATCCCGTACATACAATACATAGTACAAAAAGAAACCCGGAACGTCTAACGTCCAACCTTGTCTCCCCAACCATCCTCAAACCGTCCAGTCTCCCCCCCCCCCCATATCGAGACAAAGTCAGAAGGAATAAGCAACGAGGCAATCACGAAAGCACGCAAAGAGCTACAGACGGGAGACAATCTCACGGACATGGGAATCTATAACCCAGACGACGATCACCCCCCTCTCCTACCCAAAGAAGCTCGCACCCTGGTTTCCTCCCTGCAGTCCTGCGGGTTAGATCATGGATGAGCAACCAACCCTCCAAAAGAGAATGCATGGCAAGCGTCGGAATACGGATACACTTTTCGCATTCGACTTCCTAAACCAGACAAGAAAAAGTACAGGAATAGGATAGAGACGCAAGAATTGCAGATAGGCAATTACAGATAACATTTCGGTTCCGACAGCGTAGGAAAAAAATCAAGAAAAGAAAAGCACCAGCTGCAGCTGCAGCAAAAGCACGCAAAGTAACAACGCTACCGCATGGTAAACTTCAACGCCAACGAAACGCTAGACCTCGTCAACACGAAAAGCAAATATCCTGCTCCCCCCCCCTGATCATTCGCGCATTCGCCTCCCCCCCCCCCCCCCCCCGCGTCGTCGGCCGTAACATATCATAATTTCAACTAGATCGATCCGGCACAGTTCCCAAACATTTCAAACATACCTACGAGAGGCACGCACCCCCCCTCCCCCCACCCTGTCGGACTTCTTCTGGCCTGCTTCGTGGGAAAAAAAAAAACAGGGAAATGAAAACCAGTCGCAACAGACTACTCACTCCCAGCTACCTGGATCTTACCTCGATCCAGCTAGTGACATGTCATAAACCCAATAGTTGGTTAAAGGCAGGGAGAGAGAGGCAAAGAGGCCAAGTGAGAGCTTGTATCACAGTGTAGAAAGGAGGCCAAAGTAATGCGCGTCCTCAAACTGGTTTGTATATTTCTTCCACGCACCGAAACAGGCCCAATTCCCCCCTCGCTCAGTGAAGAGGGGGGCTGCGGCAGCAAGACCCCAAGCGCAAGTGCTGCAAAGCTAAAGCTAACCCCCTTGTGAAAAGCTCATTACAAAAAATCCCGACGCTTCAAATATCATCTCCTTTTTCTCTCCAATGGGAGAAGGGAGTACAAAACTCATTAAATCCAAAACTCTTTTGTCCTCAGTTTGCAGCAAAAAAGAAGTCCGTCGAGAGGCAAGCCTTCGTCGCGGTACATCAAATAAAAATCAAAAAGATCATATCAGCACAAACGTGTAAACTCCGCCCAATGCAGTTTGGAGGTTCTCGAGCCCATCCATCCAAGTATTTCCCTTGTGTTGTTGTGTTGTTGAACTCCTTTGTAACGCCGTGTGTGGGTTGTGTTGGTGGTGTGTTTTGCATCAAACACGAAAACAAATCGCTATGCAAGTTTGGATTGTAGAGTGCCAATGTAATCCGTAAGGAGTGTGTGTGTGTGTGTGTGAATCTTTTTTTTCTTTTTCTTTCCCGTCTCTCTATAATTCGAGATGCTTTTTCTTCTGTTGTCGTCAAGTCATAAAAAGGAGTGTGATGCACTGGGTATCATCCGATATGCCGGTGAGAGTAGGGAACGTCTATGGTTGTTTGTGGTGGATCGGGGGTATCATCTTCGATAATTAAGGAAGGAGTGTCGTCGTAGATTTAATGGTGAGGCAGTTGATCGCCGTTGAGGTCGTATGTAGTTGGTGATAATAAAAAGGATAGTCGTGGCAATGCGGCGGCGGCTGGCGCCCCCGGATCAACCGGTTGATCTCTCGAAAGGAGTGTGTAGTGTACATTGGCGTAATTGTGTCGATGCAGCAGGTATTATTAAAGGGTGTTTCGAAATCAAAGGGGGTCCCAAACGATGGTGATGAGAAAGAACTTGAAGGTGGTGGAGATATGGAAACAGGGAGCAGGCAGAGAAAAGCCTATGTCTCGCGCTCCTTGCCCTTCTCGCTGTTGAACTGGAAGGTCGGTGTCGATGGCACGCGCTGTTGGTTGCGTGGTGGGAAAGGTGCGCTGACCGACATGGGAGAGTCGCCCGTGACGGAGACGGAGGAGGATGGTGTGTGCCGGTGACGTGGGAGAGGCATGCCGCGAGGAACTGGTGACTCGGGAAGGGGGAGCATGCCGAAGAGTTCGGGGTGGAGGAACGGGGATGGGGGCAACGTGTTGAGCGAAGATGAAGCCAGGACGTTGGAATCCTCCGGTGGCGGGTAGGTAGGGGTGGTGGGCATCCTGAGCGGCGGTCAATCCGGCATTCTTTCCAAGCGACAATTGTATTTGAGCCGTAGTGGTTATCGAGGGTGCCATGGAGGGGAGGGCAGGGCCTTTCTAGATCCACACGGGCTGCTGGGTGGTGGGAGAGACGAACCCGACGCCAAAGTTGTGGGAACCGCCGACGATGGGGGTAGGCACGCCGCTCATGTCATAGCTCTCGTACGAGCCGTACTCCTCGTTGTCGCTGTACGCAACGGAGCCCTCAAATGTCGAAGATGCCGGGCTGTAGCCGCCGTAGTTGGGGCTGGGGATGTTGAGGTACTGCGAGTTGACGTACGGGGACGACAACACCAGGGGGGAGACGTTGCTGGGTGGCGCTGACTCGGCATTGAGCATCTGCAGGGACTCGGCACTGTAGCTGAAGGCAGGGTTGTGGCCATATGGCAGATACGAGTCGCTGACGGGAGGCAGGGGAACCGGCTCGTTCATGTAGAAGTTGGGAGGGTTGAACTGCGGGAACGAGGGCGTTCTCGCGGGCTGGATCCAACCCATCCTCGAGCGGAACTCGTTGACCGTATCAATGGGGAACTCCATGAGCGTCAGGGGAGTCTGCAGGTCGCCGTCGTGGTTGGCCGAGATGTTGATGGAAAGGAGGCGGCGGGCGATTTCCTCGACAGGGCCGATGGACAAGCTGCCAAAGTAGGCGGCGCCAATCTCAGTGAACAAACGCTCCATGATCAGGGCCACTGTGTAGTAGTAGGCAATGATGATGAGTGCGCTGGGCGACCCGCCCGTCTGCTTGAGGTACATGACCGGCAGCCAGAAGAGCCACGTCCGCAGGGGACGAAGGCGCTCAAACTGCTGGGAGACGGACAACGCGGGGCTGACCTTGCGGGCGCCCTTGAGGAAGCTGATCAACTGCTGGATTGACTTGGTGTCCTCCTTATTGTGCTTGAGGTGGGCCTCGACCTTTTGGAGCTGGCTCAGGGTGCGGTTAAAGGCGTCAATGTCCTCCTTGCGTGGCTGGCTCGGCTTGTGATCCGGACTGGGAGAGGCGGGAGCGGTTGGAAATGTGCAGCTCTCGGCGATGAAGTCGCCAAATTGGGACTCGTGCTTCCAGGAGTCCATGGCCTCAATGACCTAGAGGGTACGGGTTAGCAGTTGCCCTCAAACCAGGCGGCTTCCTGTGTACAACATACCGATGAGGTTCCTTGCATGAGCTGGGTCCAGCTTCGCCTGCAATTTTTGCGTTAGCGCGTGTACTGCATAGCGGATGGTTGCTGCGAGTTGCCTACCAATCTGTGGCTTGCCACGACAGAACAAGAGAGGCTGCCAAGACGGCATCCGACGTCTCGCGGTTGAACATGCCAATAGCCTCCTGCAGACCCTTGAGGGCGACGCCGCGGTGCTCGTATGCCATGTTGCCCACCAGGGGGCAGTCGGTCAAAAACGCAATATGCGTGGCTGAGAAAGCCAAAAGCGCGTGCATGACATAGGCGTTTGTCGCTCCAATCTTGATGATGCTAGTCTGGGTCAGCATGGCTCGGAATCGAGTAGACCGTTTCTCACTTACGTGGGGATATGGCGTGTCCAGAGGGTGAAGCCGTTGGCATCAAAGGTAGACAACTCATTGCAGATGGATGCTACGTGGTAGATCAACCTGAGATCCTCAACAGACAAGTACTGGGGATTCGGTGCCGGGTAAATGCCGAGAGACAGGAACGGGAACTGTCCTGTCTGTTGCCACTGCGAGATTTCTGCCTCAATTTCGGGAGTCCACATGAGGTCGGGCTTGTCGGGCGTTGTTGACCTGTCCTCGGGCATGGGCATGTCATTGTAGGGGCAGCGAATCTTGTGCTTTGTGCAGTTGCGGCTGGCTGTGTTAGTTGGCGGTTCGACAACGAAGCATGAAGTACACACCATTGGGGAAAGTTCTCGTCGCATCTGATGTGACGGCGCTTGCAAGTCTCACAGCCCTTGCGGGACTTGGTGTGACTGCGGCGGGGAGGACCACCACCAGGACCGGCCATTGTAAGCTCGGGGGATGAACTAGACGAAAGAACTGTACGTGTCAGTGTCGAGCGGGAGACGAGGAGGCAGGCAAGACGCACATGGAAGTATACACGGACAGACGACCGTGTATGGATAGCGAGTGGTGGATCGTTACTGGGAAAGCAGCGTAAGGCTTAGTCCCAAGACTAGACTTTAATACTGCGGAAGAGTGTCGATGGACCGGGGCAAGCGATGCAAAGGAGCAAATGCGTCCTTGGATGTGTAAGCGACCGGCAGCAGGTTGGTCAGGCGCTTGGTGTGAGGCGATGACAGGAAAATTGGTAAAGAAAGCCGCTTTGCTCGATAATCGATTTGGCGGATTCCTCTTACGTCTCTTTCTGTCCTTGGTTCCTTTCTTTTCTCTTCTTCTTCTTTTCCCAGTTCCTGATACTAAATAGCGATCGTGGGTGGGCGGGTTCTGAGTTTCCCTAAGTTTCCTTTGTATATCTCAAGTCCTCTGTTTCCGAAAAAAGCGAGTGTGGTTGATCAGAAGACCGATATTCAGTGATGGAGCATTTGCTGGTTGTAAGCCGAGTTGTGGGATAGGCGGGGTTGTAAGCTAGCGAGTCCCGGGTGTTGTTGAGGCTGGAGACCAGGGTATTGGGCGATGGATGCTTCGAGGCTGCTGGGGGGTAGGACTGGGCGCGGTTTGGAGGGTTTGGATTTCCGTTCCTTTTTTGTGTGTGTTCTGCTTTGTTTCTCTTCCGATGATCTTGTTGGGAGAGAAATGATTGAAACAAGAGGGCGGGAGGAGGTTGGCTTCGAGGAGGGTTGGATTTGAGATTTTGGCGGAAAAAGAAAAACACAAGAACGCGAAAGCGAATGACAGGAGTCAACGAGGACTTCCTAAGAGTAGAGTTAGGAAAAAGCGAATGTGGTTGAGGACAGCGCGAGCAGCTCAACGAGGCTGATGAGGTTTGATGTTTGATGTAGGCTGAGAGGAGGGGAGACAGGAAAAGGCGGTGGTAGATGGGCCGGGGACAGATACAGTTAAATAATGGCACCTCACCTCTCACGTCCCCAAGAGGAGAGAGAGACAGTGGCCGCAGCAGGCACAGCACATACACACACACATGGACGTACACCACTCACACACAGGCTCAGTCTGGCTTTGGCTCAGGAAGAGGGCGGCACACACGGTTGAGAAGTGCCACACCAGGTCCGGCCTAATCGGGGCAAGGCATGACCACCGGGTGGGAATAACGGGGCATGACCTGTGAGCAAGGGCAGAGGAAAAGCAAAGAGAAAAACAGCTGTGCTGTGCAGGTTGCTGCAGCTGTGCTCCTCCGTCTGGCGAGGGTGGGTGTGTGTGTGTGTGTGTGTGTGGATGTGGATGAGATGTCCAGGTGCGCAGACCCCAGGAGTAGGTGCGGGTGCAAGGTGCAGGGCTATGAGAGGAGAGAGAGAATGTATGGGACAGGGACATGTGTGGACTGTGGAGGGGAGGGGCCGTCCGTGCTGGGATCGTTGCTGGGACTAAGCAGTGTGAAATCCGTACGTACCGGGTCATTAACTCTCTCTCAGCGATGTGCGAGATGTATCTATGTATGTGTGTGTAGGGTGGTGTGTGTGAGAGTGTATTCGTACACCATGTTGTTGCTCTCTCCAACTGCGAATGTCTTTCCAGAGTTGACAGAGAGACCGAGGGAGCGAGTGCCTCAGTAATGACAGATCCAGCAGGTTCTGGATCCGAGAAACAGGGTTTCCGCGGATTCTGACACAGTCGTCCGCGGCTGGGGTTAAGCCTGTTGGACAGAGAGGCTTGGAGTGTGTCGGTGAGGACTTGTGCGTCGCGGAGCTTATTCTTCTTCTTCCTTCTCTCTCCGTACCGTTGTCGTCCGTCCGTAGGGGGGCAGGAGTGAATCGCGATGCCCTGTTGAGATAGGTAGGAAGGGATGGGATGGGTTGGGATGAGATGGGACTCTAAGATGGGAAGGGGGATAAGAGCAGGGATCCTGGCTATGGTCAGCCAAAGAGGTGAGGTGAGGGATGGTAAGGATTGGCTGTGTGTCCGTACACAAGGTAACGCAGGCGTGTGTGCATGTACTTTAATGCATGGGGAGACTGGGGGTGAAGACGAGAGAATGAGAATGTTAAATGTGAAAGAATAGTTATTTCTCATCGAGGGTGGGACGACTACAAAAAGAGTCCGGCAAGGCGGAAGAAGATGAGTACGTACTGAACAAATGGGGGTGAAGATGAATGAGAGGAGCATACACAGTAGGAGAGATAATGGGTCGAAGTCGCCGCCGGCATGGATGAATCCCTAGGGTACTAACTAAGAGACTCCTTGTCATGTCTGATGAGCTTGATGTCAACGGCCATCATCATGTCTCGATGTTCGGGCGTGTATTGACACGGGACTCGAGCAGCTTGCCCCAGCATCCGGTAAGTCGTAGTCTGGGATTTCCTTAGGCGAGCAGACGCTCGGCGCTATTCCGCGTCTACCGTGTCTATCAACGTCGGTATCTGTCAAAGACGGCCGTAGTAGGGTCGTAGTGTCGAGTGTAAAGACATGACTACGCCCGAAACGTTAGTTTTGTGCTGTACTGGGCAATGTGCTGTTTGTCCATCGCACCGCCAATCTCCCCGTTCATCCGCCAAAAGTCGACCCAAAAAAGAGCCAAAATTAAAAATAACCCTGGGCCCCTCCTCCCGTGGGTGAGCCGGCTTCTTGGGCCCCAACCAAAAGGCGGCGGCGATTCTCACTGGCAAAAAAAAACTAAAAAACTAACGCAGAGCGAGGGAGAGAGACCGGGGGCCGGGGCGAAAGAAGCCACTCACTCGGGGCCGCCAGTGGGAGTGACCGAGAGGTGAAAACAAGCGGTGGGGTCAAGTCTGTCCAAGAGAAGACAGATGATTGACCGACCTGGCCGAGGGGCGGGTGAGTAAGTGAGCGTGAGCGAGAGAGAGAGAGACTGAGAGAAAGAAGGGGGGGTAGGTAACAGAAACTGAGTGAAAGAGAGAGTGTGTGAGTGTGTATGTTAGTGAGTGAGTGAGCGACTGACTGATTTTGGCCCTCACCTCACCCTCTCGAGACTTTCTCTCCCCACGCCCGCGTGCTGATGATGATTCTAGTCCATAATGGGGCTGAACAGCTGTGGGAATCGTCGTCTGCGGTACGCTCGCATCGTGTCCATGCCGAATTCCCACCTCCTTTCGCACCTCTCTCTCTCTCTCTCTCTCTCTCTCTCTCTCTCTCTCTCTCTCCCCAAGCAACCCGCACTCCCCCTCCATACCGAACCGACCACTGGGAGACAGCCCTTGAGTTTGCTGCGCCTCAAGCTGCTGCTTCCGCTTTGCTTCGCTTTTGCTTTCACGTCCCAAAGTTCGCCGACGGAAACATGCTCTCCAGCGCTAGCAGACAAGCCCGCACCATCTCCCCATCTGGCGACTTTCTAGCGCGTTCCTCTGCTATGCCCTTCCCAGTTAGCCATCCGCTGTGCTGTGTGGCTGGTTTCTCCTCGGGCACTGGCACAGGGCCCCGTTGCCTCTGTTACCTTCGCCTCCCTGGCGCCGTCGCAGGCTGCTGCTGTTGGTGATTCTGCCGCTGGTCTCACTCTCGCGGCTGCTTTCGCTGCTTGTCTCCTTCGGGGATGGCTTCGTTACCTTTGCTGTCCCTGCTACCGGCCCATCATCGCATCACTGCATCGCGCCGCTGATGCCATGCCATGCCATGCCATACTGTTCCATCACCGCTCCGTATAGCCTCTCTATTTTCGATGCTCGCTTGACTGGACCTCGCGACCACCGGCCGAGAAGCTGTATGAGCCTCAGAGGTCAGAGGTCAGAGAATAGGGGCAGGGGCCAATCTTGTCCCGATCCAGTCCAATGACACGCTGCGGGCGAGGTGTCGGCAGGGAGCTAGTCAACACGATGGAGGCGAAGCAATCGCCAGTCAGCGAGTACTGCATCGCTGCTTGTCTGTGCCAGCGTCTGTGCCGGTGACTCTTTGCGACGCTGCCGAGCCAGTCATGGGCGATATCCCCCAACCCAACTCAATTCATCCCATCCCATCTTTCGGTCTCTCATCCTCTTTACCCTCATGCTCATGCAAACATGCTCGTGCAACGCGCCCACTCAGCCGATGACAGAGCACCGCTCACCGTCCAGTCCCAGACAACCATTTGGTTCAGCTTCATGCGAGCTTGGCCCTGTGCCCTTGATTTTATTTCGTGACACCATTCAGCAAGAAATCTAGGCACTGTCAATGTTCGGGCAGAAGTCAAAGTGGCCCGTCAGACCGGAGCTCGGGCGGCAAGCAGTATCCGCTGCTTTTTTCGTCCATCCCAACTATAGACTCTGAGATGAAGACGAAAACAGAGGAGTCAAGGGGCAGGCAGACTCGGAGATCCAGTACAACATCTCCATAGCCAGCAGAAGCTTCATGTTTGGGTCTTGGGGATGGAAGCCTCTTCGCAGGCCCCATCCATACTGGGCCTCTTTGTCAAGCTGTCACCAAGGTCATCTCTTGGCTTGGTAGACCACCGTCGCCCAGCTGGCAGACTCAGGTGACTTAGGTAATAGCGTCGAGAACCGAATTGCAGGACCTATAGCATGAGAATAGCAGGCGGCGAGCGTAGACAAGTTGAGTTGAGCACCGCCCAGAGTAACAATCCATTGCCCTCGGCATTCGCCATTTGAGCTTGCAGGGTCTGCATCTGACTAGTCCTCTCCGGTGCTGAGAGGGTGCTCAGGGAGTCAAGACTCAAAAGTGATGTATTCGGTCAGAGCCCGACTAGGAGGCCAACATCGTCATGTGGACTCAACTTGCCTGCCTTCCTATGGCCCCGGGTGTGGTGACATGCAGTACCGTCCGTCGCCAGAACCCTACACAAAGGTCCCGTCACCTTGGCTCATGGCAGCATAGGTAGCATGGCTGCAGTGGAAGCGGTTGTCTCCGTGTGTGCGCCCACAGCGAGTGGCTCTCTCCATTCCCAACGACACCCGATGCCCATTTGTTGTACCTACCTACCGCCTGCCCTATGGCCCCAATCGAGTGGCCCTAGCACTGGGTCCAACAAATAGCCTCCGCGGGCATGGGTGTATTGCTGGCGGCGTGCCTGTGTCTGCATCGCCAATTTTCGTACAATTTTTCCCACCTCGCTCTTGCGTGGTCTTTCGATCGCCTGGGAACAGGAACTTCTGCGTTCCGAAGTTGCACACGCAATCGTCCCAAGTCAGATGACGAGTGCGTCTCTGCCACCATCGTCTCGACATCTCTGGAAGCTGACGTTGCCGCGGCGAGAACTGTCCAAGAAGCTGGAGAGTTCGACTCCCATCATGCCACAACCTTGGAGGATAAGAAGCTCGAACTCTCAGCTACGGCCCCGCCCTGGTCCTGGTCTGTCGAAGAGGAGTGTCCTTGTATCGTTTCCCATCCTGACCGGAAGAGGAAGGACCCTGTTCCCATCTCTACCTGTTCCCATCTCTAGTCTACTAGAACGACTGGCGAACGTTATGCGGTCATGGATCATGGGCATCCGTGCGTACTTCCCCCTTGGGCTCCCCATCACCCATGCGGACCTTGCCCCGTGGTATGCTATGCCGAAAGAAGCGCCAGCGCGATGCGGCGACGACGAGAATGAAGGTGCCCAGCTGGCGGACACCGTCCTGAAGAGAACAGCCAAGGAACATCAGGCAAGGTGAAAGCTCTCCTAGCCCAAGCTACAACTCTCCGCGACGCCAGAAGTGGTCTAGGACAGAATACCAGGTAGCATCAGCCAGAGAGACCTGACGGTCATTCAAGACATGGTTTCAAGCCTGTGCCGTCGCGTCCGAGCTTTCGAACCACAGCACTCACACAAGTTCCCTACCAGGACCTGGGTCGAGGCCGTGGCAGGGGCTTGATGGGCAAACTCCAACTACATCCACTGTCCACTATGGTATGGATCTGCTGCTGCCGCTGCCAAAACAAACCATCAAAAGTGCTTGGTGGTTTGTGCTTTTCTGGTGAAGCAACGACACGGCGTCCAAACCATCTCGGTGCGACGTTTGGGGGCCTGTGTTCTGCCTTGTGTGTTATTTCTCCGACTCGCGTGTCCATCGATCCCTTGAGCTTGTCCCCTGTCTATGGCCAGAGTCCCTGCCGAGTCTGAGAAACAGTCCATGATCCCATTCTCGTCTCTGGAGGCTGACATTGTGCCCCTCGGCTGTGTCCCGATACACTTCAGACGACTGCCGGAGCCAACCGGATGTCAAATCATGAAGGCGAATCGAGCAGATCTTGGGACTAAGGTTTGAGGTTGTTGCTGTTATGTCATATCTGCTGGACCTCTCCGTCCGGAGCACTACGGCCAAGGGCTTGGAGAGGAGCGTGAAAGAGTTTTTGAAATGGAGGTCCGAGAAGAAAAGAAAAGTACCACGATCGTTTCCCCGCTCTACTTCGGCGTCCAGATTCGCCTCGGTGGGTTCGCTAGCGTAGCTTGCCTTGATGCTTGGTATCCGTTCCGTACTTCGTAGTGTAGGCGGGTGCATCGCGCGCAGCGAGTCAGAGTGAGAGAGGACGGTGGAGAAGACTAATTCAAAGACAAAAAAACGTTAATTCGATCCCCCCTACCCAGCAAGAACAAGACGCGATGCTTTGGAGCTCTGTCTCAAATAGAATGAATCTCCTTGGGGGATCTCTGTCTCCCGAGGTCTCGTCGCATTTCCTCCGAAGCCTTCTCAACCTGCCCCCATCAATGTCTGCTCCGCCGCGCTGGGGTTGAGCGCGGGTCGCTTCTATCCAGGGTCTCCATCTCTGCTCTTGTCTCTTGTCGTTGTTTGAACATGCCTTTACCAATCTGCAAGGGGCTGGGAGATCGGAGTTGAAGGGCGTCTTTCTGGTTCTGGTTGGCTGAAACAGCAGTTTCTCGTGTCCATTTTTGGCGTGCGCTGCTAGGGTATTTGACCCATGCTCTGGTTTTCCAGCCCTGGAATGAGAAACGTGAATGGGGGCGCTCGTCATAAACAGCTTTCCCAAATTGTCAACGAGATCTCAGATAGTCATCGCAAACCACGAGGCACCTGGTGTCACCGCTTAGCGCAGCCAGCAACGAATCGTCAACCTGTCTGTCTGTGCCGGCCCTCGGGGGTGTGACGCTCATGTGGTGGCGGTGGCTGGTCTCAACGTCGTCCAGCAAGTCAGCTTTCACACAGGCCGACGAGTGCGCGCGCGCGCGTCAAGGGTCGCTCGTCTCTGGCCGGGCCCGCGTGAGGTCCGCTTCTTTGTGCCTGACCGCCCCGTGTGGCTCTCCTGTCAACCCTGTCAAACTGTCAGGGATGTCCTTTCATGACACAGGACACGCCAGGACCAGCACACCAAACATTGATATGGAGTTTGTCATTTGTTGGCCAGCAGCGGTGTGAAGCAGCAGCGAGATAATCTTCCGAAGAGACATCACGAGTGGGTTTGGCCTTGCTGGGCGGGATGTTGGAGTCTTGGAGATGGGGGCGCTCTCTCCTGGGGTCCAAGGAACCGAGGTAAATGAGAGGGAGGGAGCTTCCAGTTGTCGGAGGCAGGTCGGAGAGCGGCCGCCAGACGTGACCTCCCGACCGTCCGAAGTATCGATGCAGGAAATGCAGGAAATGCAGGAACGAGAAGCGCACGAGGCCTTAGAGGTCGGCGGTGCAGCAGAGTCGAAAGAAACCTGGTTCATTTTGACATCAACGTACGCTTCTCGGCCCGTCTGCGTAATTCGGTCCATACGGTGATGTGAGCGTCAGCGAGCCTCTGACAACATAAGCACCACATCATGGCACACTTTTTTTTTTTTTTTTTAACTCCCCGCCGACGACCGAAGTTACTGTGTGTCTCAGTCGATTGGCCGGCGAATAATGACCTGCGGCCTGAGGCTCTAATATGGTGTCCTCCTCCCAATATCCATGCAGAAGCATGGTTGAGGGCATCTGGATCTTGCCGTATTCGGCAAGGCGGGTTTCTATTCTTAAATAACCTTCTTTCATTGTTGTCTGCGAGATTTCGGTCAAATTCACACCGCGTGCGTTGGCTTTCGAGTGCTTTGGAGGGACTTCTCGGGTACCGGGGCATTTCAGCTCTCAGGGTCCTTTGGGAAACGGCATTTGCTGATCTGGAGCCACAGTATTCTTTTTTTTTCTCTCATCTGTCTTGTCCATATCCGGCAACGTCAGCAATGTCATGCGTGTGCGTCGTTGGCTGGGGCTGAGAGACGCAACGTTCCATAATACGCTGGCCGTCTGCCGATGATGCATAGCATTGGGACGGGCGGCACCTCAGCGATCTCACTTGTTAAGTCGCCGACAGGCAGCGATTTGGGGCACGCCGTTCGCTTCGTCTCTGGTAGACTCGTTGGTGATCGACATCCGCCGCCGCGTTTGATTTGGGCGCAAAGACGATCCCGCGCTCGGGACGTGTCAAAATCTCAACTAGAGAGGCCTCTAGGGAGACACGTTGGGTTCGAAATCGGCCCTGCAGATAGCTGATCTGACATGCCCCCACTGCCGCCGTCACGTCGAGATGGTGGGAAATTTCAGACAGCGCGCGGGCACGGCGCGGGCACAGCGCGGGCACAGCGCGGGCTGATCGCTGTGTGATGGTGAAAACATTGCGGCCGCCAGCTGCCATTGGCTCTTTGACCGACAGGGCAATGGGAAACCCTGTGCGCATCACCGACCCGCATATGTGAGTTGGACGTTGTGCGAGCCGCGACGGCCGAGCGCGGTGAGTAGACGCATGGGGTGTCCCGGAAGCCTCGAGGCTAGGGAAAGAGATCTGCCTCTCCAACACTGTTCGCGCCATGGCGCCCACAGAAAGTGGTGTTTTTTTCCCTCTCTCCCACACACGATGCTGCCCGCTATATTTCTGTGGCCTCTGAGAATCCACAAGCCCGGCAGCCCGGTGAGACCGTGAGGCTCCCTCGAGATCTGTGGATAGTCAGTCCAACTGCGAATTCGCCACGGAACTAGCGGAGTCTCGGGGCTAGCTTTCCTTCCACCCCGACCCGCCAAGTTTGTCAAGCGCTACTTTGCCAGGAGCCACATAGAGGATGCGTGCTGGTGGCAGAAGACGCTGCAAACCATACAAGGCTTGCCATCCATGGACTCGATGAACAGGAGGCGGTGAAAAGGACAAAATGCCGAGCTAGTGCCACAATGCAGAGTGCAGTTGCCGTCCGATCAGTGGGTTGGTCGGTGGACGCATACTGATCAGCCACAGACGCAAAGGTAGAGAGAGATGCAGCGATGGAGCGATGCAGAGAGGCAGAAACACAAGAGTTGGACGCATGCAAGCGATGCCAATCAGTAGAGTAGATGACGGTGATTTGTTGATATGGCGCAAGAAATCAATTATCCTGGGCCTTCATTCGACAATGGGCTTGGCCAGGGTCTCCAAGCTTTGCTCCGCGTCGAGAACTCTTCGGTGCGGAGAAGATGCGACTCTGCCATGGACTTTTGCTGATGAAGGTAGTTTATCCGCTGCGAGTCCGAGCCGGGGACAGGCATGGGTGACTGGGCGAGCATGACAGCCCTAGGCTCGGGGGGCTAAAACGGGCGGCCATGCTGCCAGATGTCAATCTATGGCGTCTCGTCGGCCGAGTGACTAGCAGATTTTCCTTTGCCCATGATTCTTCTTGCTGGCCGGGTCCTACATGTCCAGGGCCCGTTGCTGTCCACCAGGGGGGCTTGAAGACGAGGGTGATGATGACTGATCAGAGCATGGGACGTCGATTCGATGGGGGTTGGATTCTTGGAGAATCTGCAGGCCCGCCGCCCAAGGCTGGAGTGTAGACGAAAGCGTACGGGTAAACGGTACGTACTTGGTAGTCTGCATCGGCAGCGAGGCGAAGGATATCATATCATATGGATATGGGTAATTCGCTCAAACTGATCCGTCCGTCTCCGCCGTGGGTTCACCGTTCGTGGGCGACAGCGGTCATTCTCGTTAATTATCGTTAATTGCTGTTAAATTGTTGGCATTTCTGCTGGGCTTCTGGAAAATGCGCAGGGCCGTCCTTCCCCACCATGCCTTGGACGGCACACCGGGCACAATCGGCAGGGGAAGCGTCGGAGTTCCACCGCTTAGCGGAGCAGAGGAACGTCGAAGGGAGGCCAATGACTGGGGGGGGGGGGGGGCGTGCAAGCACCATGAATGGTCGATTCTGATACCAGATGGGGGTTAGCAAGGTGGGAAGGGGTGTATGTGAAGAAGCTTGGTGATTGTGATGGATTCATGGGCCAGACGTGGTTGGCTGGTTGTCGAAAGAGCTGAACATACCGTCTTGACTGTCACTGACGGGAAGTACAGTACGAATACAATGTAGCAGTCTACTATGTTTGTAGTCTGTATCCGCGGGGATACAGCGACAGAGTGAGCCTAACCGACGACAGACCTTGTCATGAAGGCGGATGATGTGCATGTTGACAGGATCATGTCCGACTGCGCGGTGCCAGACGAGCCACTCTGGTGCGGCATTGTGGATTTTGTCGCCTCAACATTTGTGATTTCCATGGAGAAGGTGAACAGAAGCGAGAGATTGTCGTCTCATGTCGTTCATCCGGTCGCTAGCGTGGGTTCGATTAGAGTAACGCGAGGCCGAGGAATGCAAAAGTTCATGACCCGAGGCATCCTAGATGATGGAGGGAGAGGAGCCTCAGGAGCAGGAGAAAGAGAGTATCGAGTGGTTAGACAGCCAAACCACAATCAGAGAAAGTTAGGTAAGAATTGCTTGGAACATGGCCCCATGATGACGTCTTTGCTCCTTCCTGGGCTGAACTTTTACACACCTCAGTACAATGCTTAGGTAGGTAGGTAGGTACTAAAATCGACAAGCACTTGGAGAATCCAGGGCTCTTGTTTACCGGTGGACGCTAGCAGCTAGTCATCGGGGGGGGGAAGACATACTAGGTAAGAAAAGGCACGATATCTGGCAACTGCTCGAGCTGTGTTGTCTCGATTGATCGTTGCGCCGAAGCCTTGGCGTTACCCGTCGCGCGGCGCGGCTTCCCGACTTTGTGAGGGGAATTCCAAGGTAACGTATCTTGGCTAGCACTAGCACACCAGCACACCAGGTTCATTGGCTCAATGGTTCATTCTCCTCTTTCAAGCTCAGGCAGGAACTGGGAAGGCATGTCGTCGCTTCTGCTTCTGCTTCCGCTCCTGCTTCCATAAACGATGCTAAGGTAAGCGCGGCCTAGGTATTCAAACTCCAGACAGAAGGTGCGAAGTATGAGCCAAGGTGCTTTACTCTTAGTATTTACCGATGAAAGGCAAGGGCATTGGAAGCAAGCAAGCACATGGGTCAAAGACTACAAGGTACCTTCCATGACTGAACAAGGTTAGTTCCGCCGTCCCCCCAGCGCAAAGAGCCGATTTGCCGAGCCCATCTTGCCCCGGTGGCTTCCAATTTTATTTTATTTCTCTACGGAGTATCCATCTCTCTTCTTCGAATTAAAGCTGTGGAAACCCCAAAAAGACTTTTTTGTGGTGCCAGCGCCGAGCGGTGGTCAAAGAGAGGGGAGGGGACCTTGAGAAAGGAACCTTCCATGCGTGCGGCCCTGCACATTGGAAAAAGAGAAGGAAGGGGAGAGAAAAACACAAGGGCAGGAAGCGGATGGCAGGTGACAGATGATTGGTCTTTCCCCCGATACCCCGGTCAGATGGCTGCCTTGCATTGGCTAAATTTAGAAACAACCAGGTTGCCTGATCGGGAAACGCTAGCCAGTA